CACTCACTCACTCACTCACTCACTCACTCACTCACTCACTCACTCACACTCACACTCTCACTTTCACTCTCACTCTCACTCTCAAACTCACACTCACACTCACACTCAGACTCACTCACTCTCCCACTCTCACTCTCACTCTCACTCTCACTCACTCTCCCACTCTCACTCTCACTCACACTCACGCTCACTCTCACCCACACTCACTCACTCACCTTCAGTCTCACTCGCACTCACTCTCGCTCTCACTCACACTCACTCTCACCCACACTCACTCTCACTCACACTCGCATTCACTCAGTCTCCCACTCTCACTCACACTCCCTCAGACTTTCACTTTCCCACTTTCACTCACACTCACACTCCTTCACACTCACTCTCACGCACACTTACTCTCACCCACACTCACTGTCACTCACACTCGCACTCGCACTCACTCACACACACTCTCACTCACTCGCACTCACACTCACTCTCACTCACTCACTCACTCACTCTCACTCTCACTCTCACTCTCACTCTCACTCTCACTCTCACCCACACTCTAACTCTCACTCTCACTCGCACTCGCACTCGCACTCTGACTCTCACTCTCACTCTCACTCTCACACTCACACTCACACTCACACTCACTCACTCTCCCACTCTCACTCTCACTCACTCTCCCACTCTCACTCACACTCTCACTCACACTCACACTCACGCTCACTCTCACCCACACTCACTCACTCACCTTCAGTCTCACTCGCACTCACTCTGGCTCTCACTCACACTCACTCTCACTTACACTCACTCTCACTCACACTCACTCTCACTCACACTCGCATTCACTCAGTCTCCCACTCTCACTCACACTCCCTCAGACTTTCACTTTCCCACTTTCACTCACACTCACACTCCTTCACACTCACTCTCACGCACACTTACTCTCACCCACACTCACTCTCACTCACACTCGCACTCACACTCACTCACACTCACTCTCACTCTCACCCACACTCGCTGGCACCCACCTCTAGATTTTCTTCTTACAGACCTCACACACACTGTTTGGGGTCTCTTGCCGGATAATTGTTTTTTCTGGCATTTTCGTTTGCAAACCCTCCGTTGACAGGATTATTTGAAGAAGGTGCAGACCTCAAATGCTATTCCTTTCAATTTGTTTTGGAACAGCTTTGAGATGGGCAATGCCAAAGATTAAGCAGAAGGACCATCTTTGCAACACGTGCTGTGAGTTCATCGTTTGCGTTCATGTCCAATAGTGCCTTAGTTGATGTTGAGTAGAAGACAAAGCAGACAGTGATAAAAACCAGAACATGTTTTTTTGAAAGCAAAAGTGTATGGGTGGTATTGTCATTCGGCTTTCAGGCGATCAAGACCGAAAATGCAGCCACAGTCCAATGTGACGCCTTCCAAATCGATATATTTAGCCAACAGGAGGAGCCGTGGTGCCAGCAACTCGTTTTGCTAGTTGCAGTAGCTTCAATGACCTACCAGTTCGTGTTTAGTCAGTTTTTTTAAGTTTGAATGCCTTCTCCGCAGGATGGCAACTGGAGCAAAGAAGAAAAGATGAGTGCATCTCTTCGTGACACTTGTGAAGACAGTCCTTATGGCTACATTGTGCGACAAGTGCCATAGAGGCAGGTTTCTTGTTTTTCTTGTTGAGCGAGCAGCACAGAAGTTCGTCTCTCCCATACAACCTCGACTTTTCTTTCACGGTGTACGATTCAAGGTTTGCAGTGTGGCATTTTGCCTCCTGGACTTCTACCAGGGTTATTTGTGATTGCCTGCTACCTTTCGTTCACCCCGTCCTCTCTCAAGTGTTTCTTGCTTCAGGGTGTCTTCCACAAGATCGACCAGGAGGAAACGAAAGAGTATCAGGTTTACCGTCGCATACCCAGGACTTAATGAAGGCTTAGGTTGGAGGCCATCGCTAGTTGGGCTACAGTAGGCGCTTTGAGACCTTTGCCCCAGGTCGTGAACTGGCCAAAGATCAATGGGACAAAAAGTTTCCATATTTGCCAGACAATTGATTGGACAAAAAGGAATGACAGTGAGGGCCAAGCATGGGTTGTTTTTTTGACTCAAACAACATGTACCTTGCTTTCAGCCCGAGTTCCTTCATCCTGAGTTTGTGTCTGGAACCACTATTCTTGTAAGACAATACTAGTGTTACTAGTGTTGGTTGCCTTTCTGCCTTATTTGCTGAGCTTGACATCCAAGCGCGTCGGTCTTATGGCCACACGGAGAAGCTTTAGAGTTCACTAACGTAGCCTTTTGGGAGCTGATCACGCACTGTTTGCGCTGTCAAATACAGTGAGTGTAGCTTTGGACAAAGGACTGCGCTTTGGCTCAAGAGTAGCTGCGTGCCTTTTGCCATGGCTTCAGGAGTGGGCAAAACTGGCAGATGTCACAAAGAGAAGAAGCAATCGATTTCCTTGAACTTTTGTGACATTCAACCACAAGACGGGAAGACAAACACCCCTGAAGTCCCTGAAGATGTCGCTTTTCTTGGTCTCAACGGGACGTGCCTTTGAAGGAGCCTAATACCTCACCACCAAAAGTTAAGGTGCATATGTCGCAGAGATTTGCAGAGTTTGGACTTCGCATATATAATTCCATGCTTTCGCTTCAAAAGACGGAAGTTGTGTTAGCTCAAGCTGGCGATAGCAAACTGGTAAACTGCGTAGAAACTGTTTATCAATGTGCTTCAATTTGGATCAGGCTGTGCTTGGACAGGCGCGATGGAGGCAATGGGACGCTCCCAACTTTGCCTATGGTGTCGACAGATCAATGTGCCCGGCAGAATCACTTGAGGTCTCATACTTTCACTCGTGCTTCGGGCTTTTGCTGCAGCTTTCCACAGGAATTGCCTCCTCAGATGCAGGATCAATAAATGAGCAAGGGTATTAGCTACAGGCGCTAGCAAGACAGCTTACACACTCAAGGTAAGGGGGCGAAAGTAAGGTGCACATGGGTGCACGCTATTAGGTTCCTTTTGCTATTACGTTGGAGGCCATCGCTCTTAGGGGGGGGCGAAGGGGTTTGAAGCGTTTCATGCCTCACCAAGTTGAAAGCAAGGAGCGCTCGATCGCTCGAAGTGAAATTGCTTCAAATTGCTTCGACGCTGCACTGATGAGCGCTGCACTGCTACGGCTGCTGTGTGGCGGCAGTCTTCAGCCCGAAGAGGCACGGCTTGAGCCTCTCCTTCCATAACGCCACAGTCATAGCCTCAGACTAAACGATCTCAATAAATCTAGGAAGGTCATGAGAAGATGCAGTCATGCAATCTATAACATGTATATTCACAAATCGTTGCACAAAGGTTTGGCTGCAGTATGTAGTGAGATGCGCTTTTGGCTGCTAAGCCTGCCGCTGGCTCAGAGTTTGTCAGGGGCTCAGAAAAACATGGCCAACCAAGGCAGAAAGGGTAGTCGCTACAATCTTGGTTTGAGATTTGGTTGTGAAGCTGTTTGCAGGTGCCGTTGGCCAGTGCCTTTGCCTGCGGGCTATCTCATTAGCTGCAGCACGTCGGACGAGCTTCCAGCAGAAGATGTACCTGAGAATCAAGCAGAACAGAGAGCCATGGAGCGGAGTTGCAGAAGTTGTGCCTCCATCGGTCCCTGTTAGTAGCTTCTTGCTAGTAGTAATGCCCTTGTTACTAGTAGCGATGCACTTGTTACTACTAGCTTCTTGTTACTAGTAGTAAGGCACCTGTTACTACTAGCGAGGCACTTGTTCCTAGTAGCTAATTCTGATCCCAGGTCGACACTTGCGGCGTCACATGCGATGAGCTTTCTTGGCATTTCGGCTCCGCGGAGCTGTCCTGCGACAATGTCACAGGCACTCCGAGTTTCTTTTGTCTAGACAACGTGCTAAGTTTTTTGCGAAGTAAAAAGGTACAGACTTTTGTTTTATGGTATGTTTTAATCTAATGTTATCGAGCCTCCCTCCAGATTCCATCACGGGCTCCTTTGGCTGCCAAGTGGTAGCCTGGACTAGGCAGAATACAGCATTCATTCTATTGGATTTCCATGGATTTCCTTCACTTTGCAGGTCTTTTGAGCCTCTCTGGTTGCACAATACCCAGCTGCCCGACACAATGTGGTGCCTACAGCAACTTGGGCTCAGCCTCTTGGTGTGCAAGGTATTCTGATGAGTCTTGAAAAATGTCGAAACCAAGGACAATCAACGATGAAGCGTGATGAGATGTGATGGTTTGTTCTTTTTCCTGACCTGAAACCGCAGCGACCTTGGCCAGGTGCCTGGTGCGCAGATCAAGGCTTTGGCGGTAGACCACAGGCAGCAGCAGCTATTGGCCGTGGATGAGACCCAACATGTGGTTCTAGCACTTGGAGGCTCTGCAGGGTTCTGGCAGCTGCTATTAGGTTGGAGGCCATCACTAGGCCATCGCGAGTAGGGTGGAGGCCATCGGTACTAGGGTGGAGGCCATTGCTATTAGGGCGGAGGCCATCGCTACTAGGGTGGAGGCCATCGCTACTAGGGTGGAGGCCATCGCTATTAGGGTGGAGGCCATTGCAATTAGGTTGGAGGCCATTGCTATCATGGTTCTGGCAGCCGTGACCAAATAGTTTGGCTGGTTTAGTTACTTCGTGTCACTTCCAGCTTTCCAGCTGATTTGTTCAGCAGTGTGTCGCTTGTGGAAAAGCATTTGCACCCTTGATACTGGAGGTCTTCGCAGCTTCTCAACCCAGGTTTCTGTGCTGCATTGATGAGAAACCAGACCTTTGGAGAGAGTTCCTGAGAATGGTGATTGCATTTCGACATGAAGGATACGCTGCCCATGTGCTGAACTTCAATCCATTTGGGACACTAGTTATTTCTTGCCTCCAGCTATATACTTTTCTCCTACGCCCGCCCACCTTCTCAACGCTTCCAATATGCAATTCCGTCACAGCAGCCTTGCCAGGTTTTGTGGGGCGCAAGTGGATTGCGGGGTGATGCAGATGGTTCGATCCTTGAGCTTTTGGAGTTTTTTCAGACCTGTTCACTGTTCAAGAACCAAGAGCTGAAGAGCACACTGGTAGGGGAACAATCCGGTATGGAAATTGCGTGAACCACTGGATCCCAACAATGAGCGAAAGGTGAAGCGACGGCCTCCGCACGATTGGCGGAGCCCTTCGGAATGGCGCTCACCTCGCCAGCTCTGACAGAGCGCTTGCTGTTTGTGGCGGATACAGGGAATGGGAAAGTAACTCGACATCAGTCCATTGCATGTAGCAGATATCATATATATCACTGCAGGTTGTTTGTTCTTGCAGCCACTAGGGGTTCTTTGGCAGAGAAGTGCTTTCATTTGCTTTGTCCTCGTGCAGTGTGTTGACAAACCAACTGCAAGTCTGCCAAGCAGTCCATGCACCAGGGTTCCTTTCAAGTTCTCGTTTTTGTAGTGTTTTGTCAAGCCATCGCTAGTAGGAGGCCGTCGCTATTAGGGTTCCTTTCATGTTTTATTGTTTCTTGGCTGAACCTTGAACGCACAGTGGAACCATGCTTTGCCAAGGTCCGCATGCTCAACCTCGTCACAAGTGCGGTGTCAACTGTTTGCAGCGGATTTTTGGAACCGAAGGCATTTGGTGGGCATGTCTTAGTTGTGTTATGTTGTCTTCATGAATTGCATTGGCACAAAAAGGCAACTTTTCCTGCTTGTGCTGAATGACCTGCTAAGTTTCTCATTCAGTTTCTGGCCTTGAGCTTCACAGGGAGACTGGCTTGGTCGAACTTCAACATAGATCGAAGACCCAGTTATTGCCTTTAACATCCTTTAGCATTGCGGGTCACTCTCCACAGCTGCCACTCTGCAAGGTATGGGTTATTATTTTGTGCCGACACCGAACTCACAGTCGTTGTTGCTAGCAATTCAGGCTTTGTTTGGCACCTGGCTCTTGTTACTACAGGTGAAGTGATTCCCAGTGGCCAAAAAAACACACACACACATTCATTTTGGCACAAAAGAAGGCCCCGAAGAAATTCAAGGCTGATATTGATATCGGCAATCCCTTCTTTTGGCCGTGTCCAGTCCATTGTGCTCTTGGAGAATGAGCTGCTCGTGGCAGATGCGGCAGCAGGTTACATCGCAAGGCAACAATCACTTGATGCTCAAATGTTTGACTCACCTGAGCGTCTTGAAAGTCTTGAAACAAATGTGTGGAAAAAGAAAGGATACTGTAGCGAGTCAGTAGAGAGTGCTGTAGTAATGGTCCACTGCTTTTGCAACTGTTGCTCAACGTGTTGCACAAATCAGATCTGAAAGGCTTCCGGTTGAACTGGCCTCACTGGCACTTGGTGCTGCAACTGTAGCAGCTGTGGGGAGCCCTGGTTTGGGGGAGCCACATTGGGCCCGACTTGACAAAGTACGACAGACAATGAGCAGGCAGTTTGCAAACATGAAGTTGGCTTATCATAGCCTGTCCAATTCTCCAAGTTGAAGGTTCAACATTAGTGCGCTTCTGAACAAGTGCAGGGTGCACTCCCTTCATGCAAAAGTCAACTTGCGTTCTCGCAGGCAACTTTGGAGCAACTAGAGGGGAGCTTGGGACTCTCGCGACCTACCTGGCTAGGCACTTATCGCACATACTTTTTCCGTTCAGCCGTTCAGCCGTTTTTGCTTCTGCCATTTTTAATCATACTGACATGTCTGCGTTGGCACCTTCAACACTGCTTGGAGCTGGTTTTCTATGTGGATACCAGATACAAGTAGCAAGTATCAAAATCCACTGTGGCGGTGGCCACTACTCCTTCCACATGGCACGGCTATGCTAACAACATGTTCACTATCTCGATCTACACCCAGGACCAAGTCTCTCAAAAAGTGCTTTAAACTATGGTATTATTCTCATAGTTGAGCAGTAGCAGTCCGGATGTATGTGCTTTACTTGGACAGGCTACCGCAGCGTTAGTGAAGAAGTCTTTGTCACAGAAGCTTCTGGTGCCTTTGGAACCTACCGCATGATGTTGAATGGCACTAGGACTGCTCCAATGGGATGCCAGAGAATGGCACAGCTTGTTTAAGTCCCTCACT